CAAGATTTGCCGATTGCGTAAACAAGCTTCCCTTATTTGCATTTGGAAATGTGCGGGACCATTTGAACTTGGGAAAAATTTGTAAAACGTGTCTGTGTTTTGTTTTTTTTCTTCGCGACAAGATGTCGCTAATTACTTTATTATAAATTCAAAATGGCCAAGGCTTGGGTATTTGTGTACACTAATCCGGAACATAAAAATCAGGTGGGGGGGGGGGTTCCTAATTACACTTGACAATTTTCTTATGGAGGTGATAACTGCGCATTAGTTTTGGCAGGCCACAGACAAGTATCGTGAAAACAGGAAATAAACAATGACAAGAGAGATTCGCTAAATGAACATTTCGCTATTACTTTATTTTACCATAATTTGCTAAAATTGCATGTCGCTTTTTCAACATGTTTTACAGTAGTTGCTCCCAATTTTTTTTTTTTTTTTCGTGTACTGTAATTGTGTTGGACAGACCCTATACATATGATGAACGCGAACATATCCAACTGAAAACCAACAAGACATCGTGTTTTGGGTTCCCCAGTTTACGTCTCTGGAAGTGCAAACCCGGCTTTTGTAAATTCCGTTTTAGCATAAATCTAGCTTTGTTTTATTACACTACATTTATGAAAGTCCTATAACAAGCTTAAATGACGAAAGCGAATCTGACACTGAAACAATTCCAATTGACAGAAAACCAGTAGTTGGTTTTAAGTAAAGATTACTTGGCGATGGTTCGACAATCTTATCAAAATATCGTCAGAAATCCAATAAGACCATTGCTCATAAATCAACGGACAATATCCAAATCCTTTTGATTGGCTGGAGACGCTTTAAATGGTGATTTAAAGTCTGTATCGTCTTTCTGAATTGACATTCTAGTTCATTCAGTATTCTGCCTCTATACTCAAATGAAATGTTCAAAATGCATCAGCCTGATTAAAATTCGATGTAGGTGTATAAGCTAGGCATTTTTGTTTTACTTTGAGTTGTATATATTCCCTATCGCCTAACTAAAAAAAATAACTACAAGAAAAAGAAATAATCATAAACAAAAATAAAATGTATATATAAAAAGTGCCTATATAACTACATCGCATTTTAAGGAAATTGAAAATTCACTGACATGGCCTGTATTCAAGAACTGTGATTCATTTATTCAGAGGTATATTCGCCATTGCAGTTGAAAGCAAGCGTCAACATTAGAACATGATACGCATGTATTATTACAGAACTGTCTGACGCCATACGACAGCGCTGTTTGATTTTGTTGCGCTGGTGCGACGATCAACGGGTTCTTCGAAGTAAACATAGAGAAGAAAAGGTTGACAAGCACTGATTGTCGTATTCTATAATATTTTTTTAATTAATATCCAACACGGTTAATACAGTGATGTCACCTGTCTATTTCGCATACACTGAAATGGACATGTAATCTGAGGGTCGGCAAGGGGTGTTTTCGTAAGTTGTAATACATTTTTATTTTCGTAATAATGTAATTTGAATAAATAAACAACCTAAATTCGTAGACAAGGGCAAGGTGTAACATGTAATCAGCTATTTTATTCGTTCGTAATTTGTACAAAGATCTTATTTTTTGTAAGCGTATAAAGCATTTTCAACATTAAATGTCGTAATTCGTACGCAATTTCCAATTTTGATTCTTTGATACAAATTATCAAGTATATTATAAAAATGTGTAAAAAGTGTAAGAAAAAACTATTTTTTTACAGTAAATGAAACTTTCCTTTATATTTCCTGTAAAAACATAACATTCAGTTATTTTCTGTAACCTGTATCAGTTATCTCGCTTTGCCCCCCTAATCTGTCTAGTTCCTGTACTAGAAAAAAAGAACATTCTGATTGCCTGAACTTTTGTTCATTTCAACTGTGGTGGTACAACGGGCCAGAAAATATTACATACTTTGCGTTTGCAGCGTAGATGTACTTTGCATGTATATCAAAGCGATACGCCGATCTTTTATTTGGGAAAAATATACCATTGGAGATGTCGGGGTTTGAACCCGAGGCCTCTCACATGCGAAGCGAGCGCTCTACCACTGAGCTACATCCCCACACACAAATGAGAATTGCCGCGCTTTGTGTATGTAACGCAATTCAGATATACATGTAATTTGTTATACAAATGCACTGTACTGTGTAATGCCACAAAGAAAAAGCGTGGACCCCCCTCTACATATTTATAGGGTATTCGCGGCTGATATAGGAGATTACGTGTGCAATGGATTTGCATTCAGTCTTTTCTCTTTTTTCCGTGTTTTTTAATAGAAAAATTATAATCGAGTTTATAATCCCGTCAGATTGCAAATACGATGTGAACATGTGTACGTTATAGTAATTTGTGAACCGATTAAAGTTAATTGACTGGAGGTCAATTTTATGCAATGACCAATTATATAAATTTGATACACATACACTAATCATAATGTACATGTGCATGTACTTTTATTTTGTGATTTGATCAAATTTGGAATTATGTACTAAAATCGATAAATCCTTAGAAAATTCTTATACTTGAACGTGTTCATAATCGGTTCACAGATTCTCAGGGAATGTAGTGATAATAAAACATATTGAGGTGGATGTTGTTATTTTTTCAACATCCGAGACGATAGATAAATGCCGTCATTTGTGGATAGTACTATAGATAATGTGTGATTTGTTTTAGTAAACCTTTCCCATATGTCGCCCTTTTGCGACAAAGTGCTTTCAAGTTCATGTCGTAAATGTCACGAAAGCCGTTCAAGGTGTCGAGATCGTTTGATCTGTAGCCGTTGCCAATAACAATTGAGAGATTTTACTATATGACGAACGACTAGACTACCACAGAGGCGGCGGCACGACATTTTCCATGAGGGGCGACAACCTTGCGCCTTGCACAAATGGTTTCAGCTTGATTTTGGAGGGGCGACACCACAACATTTGTTCGGCGGGTATCGCCCCCCTCTGCCCCCGGGCCGCCGCCGCCACTGTACCAAACACAGTGGTCGATTTGAATGACATTTAGTCGGGCGCGAATTAAATGTTGCGCGTCAAGGAATCATGTTTCTGATCAACGACCGCAAAGGCAAAAACTTCGTAAAATGTTTTTCAGTGGCACTTCAGGCGGTCTATAACTACGACAACAGACAGGAAGAGATGACATGACAACGCGAATTATGAAATGGAATGGCTGTACAATGTATTCCCACTTTTCTTTTGTTCTACAACGAAGAATCTGTTTTTGGAGACTCGTGTGAATTGCGGAAAATGTTTTGCAATGTGAACTGAACTATTTTCATCCCGTGTTTAAATATTTTTGTTACCGCTGACCAACAACCGTTTATTGGTTACTTAATTTAGTAGGCGTACAAAAAAAGTATGACAGTTTGTACAAAATAAAAAACAGTTCAAACCACCGCATCACACGGCTATGTTATAACATTGTTGAACATTTTGCACATAAACAGCAGTGGGGGGTCTGTAGAATGATGGCACCAATAATCTAGCCCGTCCTTTTCACCTCCAATAATTAACATAACAGGGCAGCAACTGTGTGCAATCCACATTTAAGTTGCAGCAGTAGTAAATGCATCGTACAGTGTTTTGATTGGCTCACAGCAACAGGTCGGCCATGCTATTATATGCAAATTTTGCACAGGTGAACTATTTCTGTTCAATGTAACGCGCTACAACTGAGTGCCATTGTTATCCAGTAGTTACCAGTAAGGTACGTTCCCGGCTCAGAACCTGTGCTGTTTCTACCATTATTTGACTTCCAATTTTCTACTGACCCAGTGTTAGACCGAGTATATTTATTGAGTTGTCTATTATCGTTACAGTTAAAGTTTTTACAATTTCTGAACGTACACTTTTATACGAAAGATGCCTCCGAAGTCTGCAGCTGGCAACAAAGGTGGCAAAAAGGCTGCAAAGCCGAAGCCTACCAGTGCACTGCCTAGGGGCGCTTCCAAGAAGAATAGAAGGAAGAAGCGCGTGGAAAGTTACAGTTCTTACATTTATAAAGTTCTTAAACAAGTAAGCTACATTGTTTTCGGACGGTAACACGATACTCTTCATTTCATCTTATTGTATATAGTTCATTTCACATGTTCCCATATCAAGCGTTGATTGGTTCACATTTCTGAAACACGTGGACGCCACGTGTTTGCCACCATACGGCAAATGATTGGTTCTTGCTTACATGTTATTGTCGCTCAATCGTATTTCGCACCACGTGAAGGTTGGATTTGACTGCTTCAATCTTTCTTTGCACGCGGTTCGTCATAGAACGAGCGTAGATTCAGTACATATCCCCACGCTGTTGCATTAATCAACAGTAGGAAATGTTTCACGGATATCATTCTAGACTGAGACAGTGCCATTTCGCGACCATCTTTGATCGTACTCAGAGTTTAATATACTAACTTCAAGTTGACATCCTACCCATAAGACTGTTTATAACTCTATCATACAACTCGTCACTAATGTTGGACATCAAGAATTGATTGGTAACGATGTCTTAATTTTTGTTTGGGTCGTTTAATTGCAAACGATAAACTATTTGCCGGTTTGGGTCACGTGGTATTTTTGTTCAAACACGTCATCATTACCCCCTATTTTGATTGTTATAGTTGACTGTTAAGCCGTTAAAGATGCGGCGTCAGACACGAAGTTAGAATGATTCTGCAAGGTTTATATTGCGGCAGTTCAGTTTTCCCATGCTTAGAGTAAACTGTTTGCCGCCCCTGAATTGCGGGGTGCCCGTTATTCATGCAGTTTTCAGAGGATATCATAACCTTGTATTTGTTTCTTAAGACAATTATAGGTGTCCTCAACATGGGCACGTACCCCTATTAATTTTGGATGTATAGTGTTATTTAGTGTTATACGATTGGTACAATGGAAAGTCTTTCTGTTTTAGAGTTCGGAATCTGTTGTAACCCTGCATCTTCATCCATGCGCGTTTCACTTTCACACAGGTTCATCCCGATGTCGGAGTTTCCAGCAAAGCCATGTCTATAATGAACAGCTTCGTTAATGACATATTTGAACGAATCGCTACCGAGGCCGCTAAACTGGCCCAGTACAACAAGCGATCGACAATCAGCAGCCGAGAAATCCAAACAGCTGTCAGATTACTGCTACCTGGGGAACTTGCTAAGCATGCAGTCAGCGAAGGCACCAAAGCTGTAACTAAGTACACCAGCAGTACTTCATAAATGTGGAGCAATCTTTATAAAATAAGATATTTGTTTCTAGTTCTTGCATTAGTTCTAAAAGTGTGTATACGTTTATTTAAATTCGATAGTTAATGTTAAGTGTTTTGAATAAAAAACTACAAAATCTAACAGAATATGTCTGTCAATGTATAACGGGATACCGAGTATGCAATAATGCGTCTCACTATAAATACATCTGGGAAGGGAAGCTTCTGCGTAGAGTGGAAACCTCGGAAACATGAAAGTTGAAATTGGTAGTGACAAAAATTGAAAAAATAAGTTATGGGTTAGGATTAACCCTAATGGCGTCCATGATTGCCATGCAATATACTGCCCTCAAACAAATGACGCGAAACCCAGCGTCACGTGCCATAGAAAGTCAAAATGGCCGCTGACAATATTTCATCACCTGCTGATTGGCCGATTTTATCACGTGACCTCTGCTGAACTCAAGCGAGCGTCCCGTATTTTCTCAATTTCGTTTGTAGAAAAGTCTTGAATCTTTTAATGATTTAAATGTTTTAAATTGATTGAATTTGATCCTATAACTTTTCAGGTTTCCACGTTTCCGAGGTTTCTGGCAATTCCGCTCTACGCAGCTCCAGGCAGTTTACGGCTATGCTGAGTTCATAGAGCAAAATAGATTTTTGAAAACTCCAAGTTTGACAACGTTGCCTAGTTCATGTTAAGGGATCTTTAAAATTCTATGCGAACTTGAATTTAACTCTCATTTTCAAGATTTAAAATATTGAACATTCCCTAGTTACTAAAGTTATTGGAGGTGGAAGACCAGAAACTGAAATCTCAGTACACTTTGTGTACGTCGCTATGGGTCCATACCGAACAGGACGCTTCGAGACGAGCACCGTCTTTTGAGGACG